AACTGGCTCCTGCTGGGTAGTGTTGCCTGCTGGGACCTTGCCCCCGCTTCGTAACGAGAAGTGCGGTGAATGCTACATCGAATACTCCCATACGTATTTCAGTTCCTGAGGGAGCCATGGCATCTCTTCAATTGACCTGAGTAAAGGGAATTTCTATTATATCTCGGCTCAGGGGCTCAGCACTGGGATGGTCCTTTATGCTGTAGCCCATTATCCCATGACGCTGTGAGGTTAAGCTACCTGGAGATCAGATCCATGTTTGTTTAAACATGTCTACATGTTTATCTGTGTCATGTTTATTTAAACATATCTTTTATTGTACATCTTCGCAGATTTGGGGCGGGGGGGCGGGGAACCAAACATAAAAGCAATAAGGTGAATGATGTCTGCTTACTTTCCCTCTGTTTCTGCAGTGGGATGCATTCTCCATCCCAGAGCTACAGAACTTCTTGATGATCCTGGACAAAGAAGAAAAGGACAAAATCCAGCAAGTGCGAAGGAAGTACGAGAAGTTTAAACAGAGACTGCAACAGACCTTGAAAGAAGCCAGAGGCAAGCCTGGGTAGCCCAACAGGAGGCACTGGGCATCAGACTAAGCTAGATATTATTTTTAACATGAAAAGACACTTCTCAGGACACCTTATAGTGGCCACTCTCCCTCTTCACCCTTCCATTAAGGACTGGCTCACAGCACCAATAAATGAGCATACAGCATTTTCTTCTTCTGAAACCTCTTATCCCAGGACCAGAGCCTGTCGAAGAACGGGAAGCCCGTTTTAAAAACTGTGGCTGTCAACAAACCAAACAGAGCTGCTGCTTCGCTTTTCAGCTGTACCATCAGGTGGAGAAGCTTTGTGGAAAATGCTAGCGTTAGACCCAACATCTACTGGCTGATGTTTTGAGCAGGGTAACACTTGCTCTTCATGCTCCTCCCAGGAACTTGCTTGTTCTTGTTTGGAGGTGCTGTGGCTTGTTGCGTGCGCCCACGTGGCCGAGTTCTCATTTCATATGTAGAGCACAGGAAGCAGCAGATAAAGCGCAGGAGGTTGTTGCACCAAACCACGTGGGTGTTGCAGCTGCAACCAAATGCCAAACGGACTTGTTCAGGGCTAAGATAGCCAGGGCAATGCAAAGCTATGGCACCAAGGCAGCTGCAACACCCAAACAGTCTGTTAGTAAGTATTATTGAAACTTGGTAATACTAATTCTGGGAAAAAGTCATCCATTTTTATTCTAATTAACTTCCAATTTTGAAAACAGATGTGAATTACAGCAAATTCTCCTGATGCTTAGCTAAGCTAGCCTGTGTTTTACCAGTTTTCTCCTCTGTAGGAATTGGGACCTATGTTTTAACAAATTCTGTTTGAAAAGTGTAGAGATGATGGTTGGGGCATGGGCTGATGGTTTGCTACTGAACGTTTAGCAATACATATCCAACAGACTAACCCAGGAAAGCTCAAAACCCCATTTTAAACAAATCAAACTGATTTTGAGCTATGAACAGGTCTAGGCATCGAGGGAGAGGAGCTCCACCCAGGGCCAGGGCGTGGATGTGGCACCGAGAGCGCTGGCTGCCTGTGCAGAAGAGTAAGGGAACCGTTAGCCTCAGACGCTTTCCTCCCACCACTCTCTCATACCGTGCTTCCTCCTGCTAATCCTCCTTGCACTGCTCTCCCACCACTCCTGTCCGTGACACGCCATCCTCTCCCTCCCTGTGCCACTCTGTACGTGTTGTGTTCTCCTTCCCCACTCGCCATCGGTGCTCTGCCGGCACGTCCAGCAAGGTTACCAGGTTTTGCTCTCTATGTGGAGCTAGGAGAGGACAGTTCTCTCCCCCCCTCTCAGGGCTCCCACCGTCTCTGGTGCATGCACTGCGCATCCTTCAAAAAAAGTCCTTGAGCTGGAGCGTCAGTTACTGCCGTAACTCCACCCAGGGACCCCGATCTCGCTGATGCCATGCAGCGATGGCTGAAGGGCAAGGAAGGCTCCAGGGGTGCCAGAGCTGAGAGAGGATGGGCCCCACGGCTACGCTCAGTGCTTTTTTCCCAGCACGCTGCACACAGCCAGGTTCAGTCTTCCCTCTGTCTACGCAGGGCACGGCGACAAAACGTAAAGAGAAAACGGAAAGTTAATACCCGCCGGAGTCAGGTGGAGCGTGTGAAGGGGTTTCATGTTGACTTGATGTGTCCCTTTGAGCTTGCTGAAGGCTGCTGTGACCCCACCTGCGGCAAGTGGGAAGGGAGGCAACAGGTTATTGTTACCACAGAGACAATGTGGAAGAGTCTAAAATTTTACCTCAGTGCCTTTTTTTTTCCTTAAGTGTGAAAGCTTTGCATTTGGGCTAAGGAGGAAGTTGGAAGGGGCTTTTGTCAAGAGGCCTTGTCACTCCTGTCCCCCCATTTACCTAAAGTACTGTTGCGATGAGGCTGCTTTTGTCCGTAGAGGGACGAGGAGCTATTTGGTTTCTTTCCTGAAGGTGACTGCTTGGGATTTTTTTTTTTTCCCCATTGAGAGAGTAACTGCATTGCTTAAAGCCCCTGGGTTTGTATAAATGCCACTTTCTGCAAGCTTAGTTCCAGCTCGTGCTTTAGTCAGTAGCGTGAAAGGGTTTGCTCACAGGGCTATGGCCTCTGGCACGCGGTGCAGGGGGGCCTCCCCGCCGTACTGTACTCTACACCCAGATGACCTTTAACATGGCGGCAGCCCAAACAGAGCAGCAGTCTCCGTGCTCTGGGGCTGTTGGTCCATTTACAAGAATACTTATTACTTCACTATGCACTTGTGAAGTTAGTAACGTTTATCTAGTGCTTCAAATCTTGAAAGCACTGTATAAATACTTCTGTTCAGTCAAGAGGAAGAACACTGTAAAAACTGCCATTGGTTCTGAGAAGATCCAGACGCTTGTTTTTAAATCCCTTATCTTTCTGGCTAGAAGTTGTAAAGATTTCTTTTGTTGTTGTTGTTGTTGTTTTCTACTAGAGTTCTGGTGACTGTCTCCCTCTCCCCTCCTGGAACCCAGCATGTCTTTGACATTTTTGTAGAAGGCATGGCTTCTTATGCAATTACCGTGAATGCTGCTGAAAACCTCCTGCAAAGGGGAGGGCTGTTTCTTTTGGTTTTTCAAGATATGGGGCATCTGAAGAATCGGTAGATCTTGAAACTCTCATTCTCAAGGCAGTTGAGCTTTCTCTAGGATAGAACTATTGGCCCCTTCCTTAAATGCAAAATACTGTTGGCAGTGCCTTTGGTTAGTTCGTGTGAATTTATTTTTCATGTCTATTGTAAAACATGTAAAATAATGTGTATAAAATGGAATAGTAAAGCTTCTATGGCAAAGTGAAATGCATTTTTGCAATGCTGTAATTTATTTTTACTACTCCCTAGTAATTCTATGGCATTTTTAAAAAATGTCTCACTTCCAGCTTTTTTGAAGGTTCTGAAACTACTTGTTCATACGCAGACAGTGTAAAAGACAACGATAATAAAACTGTCAGTAATTAAAGAAATCTCTTTAATCTCTTTTTCTGGCGCCCTCCTATGGAACATTCATGTATTAAGTCTAAAGGGAAAATACAGGAATCCTTCCTAGAAGTGAATTTGAATTTCTTAACCCTACTGTAAAGTGTCTAAGATTCAGCTAAAGAGGTACAGAATATCAACCCCTGTGAAATCTGACCAAAGTGTTTCATTATTCTTCTCCTAATACTTTAGGAGATTTAACAGAACTGCTACCCATGTCTACCTGTGATAAATTACATTTAATGTCATACATTAACATGTATTTATATATAAAAATAATATAAACCATAAAAATCCAGCTAATAGAGTTAATTCTTAGTGCTGAAATGTCTGCTATTATATCTGGAAATGTTTAAAATGGTAAAATCTAAAACCAAGTGGGGTTTACTTTTGACAAACAATCTATGGCACAGCTGGACTGCTCCAGGACAATGTGTTGGAATGTACTTTGCTTACATTTACCATGGTGGACATAACTGTGCCTCTGCCAAAAGATGCAAAGCAAGAACGTTAAATTAGCCAAAAGCTGCTGTAGCCAGAAAACTAGTGTACCATTAGGAACTTCTAGAAAATACATGGAAAAGGATAACGCTAGAGGTTTTATTCAACTTTTTATTTTTATGAAAAATGAACAGCTGGAGCAATATTATTATGTGAGTGAATGCCAGACCTTGTAAACATCCAGGACTAATTTTTGAATGAATAGGGCCTGTACATTATCCTTGATTTGCTGGCAGAGTGGTTTTATAAATAATAAGATCTGAGTAATTCTTACAGTAGATTTTTCTCTTTATTTCTTCCGGCCAAGCTTTGGAGCCTTCTCAAGGCCTTGAATGTATTTCCGAGGTAGCTGGTATTCTTCTGCAACATAACCAAGAGTTCACCTCAGGTAAATACTCAGAGTTCAAGAATTAAAATCAGTATCTTGCTGTAACCAGTCCCGGTTCTGTTCCAAGATAGACTTACCTAGCAGCATCTTGGCCAGATGATGGATTTGGTTGCCTTGGATCTGAACTTGAACTCTGTCTTTTGTTCCTGGTACTGGGGTGATGGTGGCACTGGCTTGTACTTTTTGTTGCAGAATGTTGGCCACACTCTGTGGGTCTAGACCATACAGCTCAAGGTTCTTGATAATTGTCACCTACAGGTTGTAATAATTATTGCAAACATCACTGCTGTAGGAATTAACAAGTCATGTCCCATTCATCCCAGAAAAACAAGCTCCCAAAGCTGCTCTTAGAACCCGGGCTTATGTTCAAAACCCGTAATTCTAGTTCTCTTTTTACCTTCTTATTTGATGATCTCTGTGCTATGGTTATGTCGATGGGCTCAATGTTTCCTTTCCTCACAATAGGTTCTTGTCCAAAAAACGTCACCTGGTGTAAGGGCTGCAGTCGTTCAAGGCACCTGAACAAGGTTTATACAACCATTTAGTCTATATAGTACAGCAAGGCTGATATTAACTGTGCTTTTCTACTGCAGCCTTTCACAGGTTTTTGAGACAAGCCAAGATTCTATGTGTGAGAAGAATTTCTGTCTTAAGAAGATAATGCATAACAATCTCATGCAAAGATTTGCATCCCAGCTATTATTTTAAGAAAGGCAGTCTACTGACTCGCAAAAATTATAGTTTAGATTGTTACTGGTAAAATTTTATAGATTGGTTCTTGTAGAGGAAAACCTTCTTTAACTTTGTCTATAAGCTATTGTTCAGTTGTGTTGTTCACAGATCGGTGAAGCAACTTCAGTTTAAATTTCAGCATAAACTGTGTTACTGTCCCACGAGCAAACTTGGCTTCAGAAATAAAGGAAACTGCTGGAGGTGCCTCAGAAGCACTGTGTGATGGAGAAGCTCAAGGCAAGTACGACACTGGGGATGCTTAGGCAAAGTTTTTCAGTATATGGAAACAATGGTCTTGTGTGAGATACTGGGGCCTCTTGGACCTAAAAGGTGGGTTTACGTTGTAAAGGCAGAAGCTGTGCTGCACATAAAGAGCAGGATGACTGCCATTGCCTAAAAAGGGCGTGTTTGGCTATCTATTGCAAAGGATGGCTTTATAAGTATGTACATACAGATTATACACAGAACCAGGCACTGTTTGTTTAGGACGCTTTCCCTAATAAGTGGTTAGCAGGTAAACAAAAAAAATCCCATCAACAGTTAATGCTAGATGCTTGTGAGAATCATAGGATAGTTTGGGTTGGAAGGGACCTTTAAAGGTCACTAGTCCAACCCCCCTGCAGTGAGCAGGGACATCTTCAACTAGATCAGGTTGCTCAGAACCCTGTCCAACCTCACCTGGGATGTTCCTAGGGATGGTAGAATGTTTCTACCACCTCTCTGGGTAACCTGTGCCAGGGTTTCACCACTCTCATTGTGAAAAATTTCTTTCTTATATCTACTCTAAATTGTTAAATGGTGAAGAATGAGAGAACCTTTAAGTGAAGGTCTCTGGATATTTTTTGTTGTATTACCAGTAGGAAGTTACAACTTAGGTAGCTCTAATAACACGTGGCTTTGAGTTGCACGCAGTAAATCTGTGTAATACTCAAACACTACATTGGGAAAAGAGTTACCTGCTCAAGAGGTCATCCCATTTAAGGTTTGAGATTTCATCTTGTTCCGACTTATCTAACAAACAGTCACACAGAACAGCATTCACCTTTACAAAGCTACAAAACAAAAACACGCATTAGAAGCAAATAAGTTCACCTTTTTCCTCTAACTTCAGCATCTCCTGTGGCAGTGGGGCAGGACAGCCTCCATGCCTACTTACTTTTTGTTTGTTTCATCAACCAACTCATTAGTCTTCACATAGTTAATGATGATGTTTCTCACCTCACTGCTTGAGAGGATGCTGCCTTTTCTAAAGGTAAAGAAAAATTTTTAACTTACTACTTTAAGTAGTTAGGTGTTGGGTTCTGTCACCAAGAGAGAAGACAGCAATTACCCTGACTAGATTTGGTAGTAACAGCTCAATACCAAAATATATTTGCTAGGGAGCCACTTCTTGTTACACCTCAGCTGCTATGTACCAGATTAAAGGTTCACAGCAGTAATTACAGAGACCCTAAAAACCTTAGTTCTGGGGTCCTAGTTTGGGAGGATGACCCCAACGGCACTCCTAACTTCAGGGGACTGGATAACTTGTACAAAACTGCCAGTTGAGGAGCTTTTTTGCTGCCTAAATTACACCAGAACAGACAGGATTAGGGCACAAGGAGGCAAGTGAGTTCTTTAAATTATCTGGGCATCGTCTTTTAAGTAAACCATACTGTGTGTGGGCAGAATATGCCTTAATCCAATGGCAAATTAAGAGAATCCAAGTAAAATGTATCAATTTTGACACTTGAGCTATCACCTCCCTAGCTGTGGGAGAAGTGCTGAATGCAGCTGTTGCAGCCTCTTATCTTTCTTCCATTTGTGAAGCAATGAATGTATTCTTGATTCCCATCATGCTTCTGACAGCATGGCAGGGCCCTCCCCATGAGGGCTAACAAAATGGTAACAGCATAGGCTTATTCTCTCTTCACATTAACAATGGTTTTGTTGCACTTTCTAGTGCTTACCTGTGTCCAGATTCCTGAAAAAGTGGGATCATTTTTGTTGAGACGCCATAAAGTGGAATGATTTCAGGAGCACGGTACACTTGTTCTCTATCTTCACTCTTGCTGTCTTGGGCAGCAGAGACTGAAGAAAATCCTTCAGGTACTGCAAATGCTTTAACACTGAAACAAGAATTATTCGGTGAAAGGGACTGAAACTCATCAATTCCATTTCACTGAGAAACCTAGCAGAGTTGTGCAAAAAGCTTTCTGGTCTGTTGTATAGTATGTCAGTTCCCCCAAATGCATTCCATTGCAGTGGGGGCCTGTGTCTGGGTATTAAAGGACATGATGAAAGAACACTATTTTGGAGCATTAGCTGCAATTACTAAATTTGTACTTGTACCCATTGCAAAGGTACACATAAATAAGCACCTCAACTCAGGTTTCACTCTGAGTAAAGCTGCCTGTGTTGGGGAAAAAGTAAATCTCCCCAGCTATTCTAAGCATATTTGACTCTCGTAATTACAGACAACTGCCATAATTCAAAGGATGCAGCCCTATTCCATAGAATCACCAGAATTAAATTTTAAAAAAACCAAACAACTGCACTCTCCACAAACGTCAGGCATTTAAAGGCTGAAATGATTCCTTAGTGGCCACTGATAAAAGACAATTCTGGAAGGGAGAGGGAAGAACTGTACCAGTGCAGGAGCTGGAGTCTCACTTCATTGACCAGAGCTTGCAGGTAAGAGAATTGTCAAACCGAATTTGAGTGTGCCTGTCTCTTAATGATAAGGCCAAGTATAATGAGAGAAGAGTTAATGCAAAAAGTCAAAGTAATTCTACTTCTTTCCAAACACAGAAGAGAAGATGTGCTTATATCTACAGAAATATTCTCCACTCCATTAGTTGCCAAGGAGATGTTATATACCAGGAAGCCTCAGGCCCGCTGGGAAATTCCAAGAGAGAGCTAATGTGCTGATACACAGAAGGAACGAGTAGGCCGTTCTTGATGTGAGGTAACTACTAATCCTTAGAAAGATAACAGGAACACCGATAGAGGAATTGGGTAAGAAATAACTGAAAGGGTAAGAGTATTTGTGCAAATCTATATGTGTAATGGAAAACACAGCAGTTTGGTTTTTTTTGGGGGGGGGGGCTCAGATATTATAACTTTGGCTTCTGATTTTGCAAAGTGCTTGATTTGATCCTATATGACATTCTGCAACAGTGGTTTCATGAGCATTTATTCGACAGTAGTGTCATCTTTTTGCTGGACTTATTCTTTAGACAGGTAAGTCCACTTCAAAGCTGAACAATGACTTGTCCCAGCACATAGATGGAATGGGGAGGGGACGACCTGCTTAAACTAGAAGGGCATAAAACATTCATACCATTATAGTCACTGTTAAATAGAGGGAAAGCTGCCTGATGGGTTTCAAACCTTCTTGCCTCTCTTCCCCCACAAACTACTATGCTGTCTAAGGAAAGTGCTTTTTAGTGACTGCTAACAAGCTTGATACTGTAACTCTTTTATTAGCATCCAAACTGGAAGCCAGCAATTTGTAACACTGCAACAAATTGCAATGAATTGAATCCTCCTTAACATTTTCTGGATGTTTCTCTGGAAAATTTGTACAACCACTACAACCATAATAAGCCACACGCAACTGTCAGATCATTTAACAGCCCTTTTTGATCTTAAGTTCTATGAGATGAATGCACAACTAACAAGAAAGAAAAGGTGGAAATCATGACACTACCATTAGACTTTTAAGCATGCTCAGTGCCACTGAGTAAAGGAGGAGGAATATTGTTTGCCTGGAAGAACTTTACAAGAGCAGGAAACATGAGCAATGTTGTATAGAAGCAGGGTATAAAACCCCTCCATAGCATATTAAGATTTGTAAATTAGGGCTGCTACAGCTATTCATAACAGGAATTCAAGCAGAGTATAGGTAGAGAGCTGAAAGTAGCAGATTCTGCTCCCTTCTTTCAGAGACTACCCACTCTTTCAAATGACAATATTCTACATACTCTGGATGTTTCCAGTCCACTTCCACGATGCTCTCCACACCTTTGTTCAGCTCCTTCACTTGTAAGATCTTCTGGTGCTGCATACATTGCAGGAATTTAGAGAACTGAAGGAAGCAACAATCAGAAATGTGGAGTCAAGCATTTTAAATTCTTGTTCATGTGTTTCTGACTGCCCCAAAGTTACTTGCTAAATCAGGAAAACTTCTTTAAAAAAAAAAAAAACCCACACCTTTGTTTCTCTAAACACAGCAATTGCTAAGGAGCAGTGAGTGCCCCTATCTGGCTCTAAAACAGAGTAAGCAAGTGTTCCTTTTGTAGGTCTGCTATCTGCTTGCTCTGTGACCTTCTTAGACAAATCACAGTACATCTCACATGGACTACTGTGAGGTCATTGGCAATGCACTTTGTCTTTGCTTGTCGTCTGCACAACCAGGACAGTATCGTCTCCTTTCTCTTCAGGTTTGTTTGTTACCACCTTTAGAAAAGGAACGGCCTCTTCTTGCAAGTAATTGCACTTTCCAGCAAGATCAGAACCCTTTAACAGCTACTGCAGTATATAGTGGCAGATAGCATTAGCTGCATTCAAAGTGGATCAATGCTCATGCTTTCCGGACAATTACTTTTCTCCCTGGATCCCACAGGAGCAGACAGTTGAGAAAAAGAACTTGGCTTTTAAGAACAGCTTCTAGGTTTTTGTGTTTGTCTGTTTGTTTTACTAGCACTTGAACAATTTTCACTTCAAACGTTTTCTCTCCTTCCAATTCTTATTTAAACTAATGCCAAAAAATTAATGCCAGAAAAATCTCACCTTCTTATAGCTTGACTTCTTTATGTCCAGTTGTTGTCCAGCAGGGCTATAAATGGATTTTTAAAAAGTTCTTTAGTTGTAAGTCACCCTTCATTTCTCCTTAAATCTTGCTACTTATGCTAGAAGTTTTCTTAAGAGCAGAAATACAATTCACACAGAGAAAGAATTACTTCAAACAAGCTAATAAATAGAACGTGATGAGTGAAACTAGTGCTGATGTTCCTGCGGTAGGCAAACGGCTGTTTTAAGTGACTAAAACATCAGCCAACTCAAGTTAGCTACCAGGTGCATATCCTGGTCTGGATGATCCTTGCATCGAAGTATTTGATGTAAGAAGTGAGCATAATCTTAGATAACCTTAGATAAGAACTGAATTTTACTTGTCAGTCAAAAACTTCATCCTAAATATCACACTTGATCTCCACAGTTTTAAAGCCAAAAACCCAGCATGCAAATCCAAAGACCATCTTCTTACCACATACCAGCATGAGAACATATGGCTGCGTAGAAATGTGCTGGTGAGCAGAGGGAGATCCGACTTCTTTACTTTGAATTTTAAGGCATGAAAAAAGCACTGATTAAATAATGCATCCATTTGCTCTGCAGGGAAAACAAGGACAAGTAAGCTGTGAGTAGTCGGTCTTTCAGACCACAGCACTTAGTTCTTTCAGACAACACAGAACTGTCTCTACCTGGTTCTTCGCAGTGAGCTGTCTAGAATGAACAGTGATCTAGATCATGGCTATGGGCTTCAGCAAACAAATGGGGCACAGTTTGGTTTCCTTTGTATGCAAGTATACCTTGTGGAGTCCTACTGTCTTCAGCTTCCCGCTGAACCACTGTGTTGGCATCTTCAGCTGTTTCTGCAGCTCTGTTCTCACCGAGTTCCTCCTTTCCTACCAGTACTGCACAACTGTCTTGCTCCTTCAGGCTCAAATCACCGACATCCGCATGTTGCAATGGGTCAGCGGAGAAGCTGATGGCAGGCTCTTTCCCCTCCATCTCCTCCTCATCTTCAGGACTCTCCTTTTCAGCACAGTCTGTTACCAAGGGAGCTAAGGTAGGAGGACAAGATTTGTCACCATATTCCCTATAAAAGGAAGAAAAAGCATAACAGCTTTCCATTTACTGCTTCGAAACCCACAGGACAATGAACAAATTTCACCCTGATAAAAGAGTGAAAATGAACTGGCAGTGGCATGGATCTTTTTCAGCATTCTCAAAACTATAAAATTTATTTTTAACTCATCTTCCTCCATAAACTCTATGTTTCCCCTATGAATCTTAATTTAAAACTGAGCAGACAAGTTGAATCCAAACGCAGAGCAACTCATTTATTTGGTTGAGACTGGCACAGTTGACCACTTTTAAGCAAAAATTGATTCAAAGTTCACTTTTTATAGAACAAGATTTCCTAAAATCAGAGTAATGGGGATGTTAGCTTCATTTCTATAATAATTACTCACAGGCTGAAGGAACTGAATCACGTGAATAATTTTACGTATCTATTTCCAATATGTATGTAATGGATAGATATCAGGCCAGACACCCGCTTCTGTCAGAAGAGTGTGGTCATCAAAAACATGTAGCTGAAACCTTAATAATGGTCATATCTAAATTGGGCACAAATAACTCAATATGATGAGCTGACAGATTAAGCTTACTGGGGCACAGATTTTTATTTTAATAAATACATGAGACTCGTTACACATTTTACCAAATATCTGGCAATATACCCACCAGAGGTGATCCATGTAAGTATGCAGCACAGCAAAGCCCTTCCCTTTCATTCCAGCAGCCAGCATCTCCGCAGTGGACATATTGGCAATTGCAACTGCTACTGGAGCTCTGGGAAAGAAGTGAGTATTACAGCAGAACAGCACAAATACACTGTGCTGCTTGGACAAAGACAGACTGGGCCATTGTGATATACTGAATTTCTTTTACGATGCCCTTGTTTTTACAACCTGCTTTTTTTAAAGCATCTAGGTATTTTCTGGTTTTGTCCCATCTTTCTGGTATGTAAAGTCTTCCAAAGAATCCCAAGGATATGTGCAGCTGTGATACTGAAGTGAAGGTTGTGCAGTGACATATTCTTCACTTTAGTAAAGTACAAGAAGCAGATGCACTGCCAAAAGAGACTAGCAGTGGGGGGGAACCCAACAGCTTTAGCACTGCTCCCCACTTTGAATTTCCTCATAAGACAAAGACAACTGTGTAGACTACAATCTTTTGTTAAAAAAAAATTACTGTTTCAAAACGCATCTACCAGTTGTGCCCCCACAGGTCCAAAAGAACCAATTTGCAAAGCTGTCCACCCAAGCTCAAACATATCCTAACCCAGAAAGTTAAGTGGACTATTTTTTTTCTGCTGTATTTTCCATTGTTTATGTCCACAGCGCACTGCTTTTATTTCCTCAAAACCCCCAGAGTCCTCCTGTAAAAAATAGCTTCATTTCATTTTTAGTTTCTAAGAAAAGATATGAATAAAGAATCCTCTGTACCTGTTTCCCAAGAGGGTGATGGCACAGAGCGTGCCCCGCTCTACTTGAGGAAAGCCAGAAGATGGCACTACAACTCCTGGCAGCATCAGATCTGAAGAAAAGAATAAAGCACATCCATTTCTCAATGAAAAACTCAGCCACTACCTCCTCCACCCCCAGCCCTCCCGTTACTCAGCAAAAACACAAGCCTGTTAATAGCTGAGCACATGCCAGATAAAACATGATTGTCGGTTTCTCCTAGTAAGGCAGCACTTCTTGCTACCACCCTGTGGAATAGGGGATCCAATTCACAAGGGTGCTGGGCACATCCCAAAAAATTGCAGAAGAGCTAAGCATGCTCAGCCCCTTGCCCTGTCAGGGCCCAAGGGAGTACTGTGTCTAACAGAAAGGCATGAGCTCACAGCCTAGAGAGCATTACTCTTCATTAATGACATGGAAAGAGAAAGGAACAAGGAGATGTGTCTGGAATTACCCATTTACTCTTCCCTGTCCCAAGGGCAGGTTCTCGCAGCAGCTCTCTCCCTGAGGAGAGAGTTGCCTAAAATTTGCCACTGCTGACCCAACCCTCCTGATCTGACACAATAGCTGCATTCAGCTGTGACTCTACTCAGCATGAGGAAGCAGGCTTAAACATCTCCTTGCTAATTTGCAGAGAAAGAGTATACCTTCTTGTGTGCTTCCTTCTGTTTTCCATACCTGGAACAAATAGACTGGCATGTGAGCAAAGCACAGTTTTCCCCACGTACAGCATCACGTTATCATCAAATTATGTAAAGAGCATCTGCTCTCCCTCATAGCAGCTAAAATTGCCTAGAACTTGCAGTCTCATGGACTGACCTGTGTTCCACGGTTTGGTTTTGAAGGCATCTCATTTTTTTCTCAGCATCATAGATTTAATGTGTATGCTGATGAAGCCAACAATATTTTTTCCTCCCATTCACTGTCACAACTACTTTCATCAAATCTAGAATTCTGCAATTGCAACAAAGGCTCCACATCTCTGAGGACAGAAATCACATAAACACCTTAACGTGACAAGGTAAGTAGCATGTGCATATTATGTAAACAACCAGGGCAGACAGCAGATATTTGAATTCATGGAACCAATACCACGAATAGCACTGCCTCGCTTCTCTTCTTTGTAACTGAATGCTCCCTAAATCTGCTCCCTCCCTCCCTGTTTGCAGCACCGGATAGCCTCATGCCTTTCCTCTTCTTCCCGAAGTGGCTCTACCTCTCCTCTCTGCTTTTGTTGGCCATTGTCTCGGTGGCTAGCTTCTTATCTTTGGATCGTACCCAGAGGTAGCCTGGTTGCCATGGGAGATGAATGACCTGCAGCCCTCTTTCATCAATGTCTTTCCCCCATTAGCAAGACTTTTTTTTCCCAGAAACTAGGTCACTACAAGTCAGCAGCAAGGCTTGCTCAGATGTCTATCACAGCTACACATTCAAGCACTTTATTTCCCCAAAAGCAAATGAAGTAAACAGAGGGACTCGAGTTCTACTTTAGATACTGTGTAATGGAAAAAAAGACATCTCTTCCTACACATACATTTCTTCCATTTACAGACTAAGGCACAGTGGCTGCAATTAAGTCTTTTTCTGGTTGAGCAGTTCTGCAATTTAAAGTTTATAAAGACCTGATTTTTATGAATCTGAATTGCACCCAAAGCAGGTTCCAGAAAATAGACTCCTTTCTTGTTAGTCTTGATCCATAATTAGGTGGTAGAGCCAGTAATCCAGGAATTCAAATCCAACCTTACCTGCACAATCCACAATTTACTTGACAGTGATTACAACTGTAGGTTCCAATATAAACTCACTCTGTATCCATAGGATAAGCGAGTTCACCTCTGAACTGACAGGAAGCAGGGTGGGAGCACAGGAACTCAGCTGCTCAGGGAAAGTTATAAAAAAGACAGTCCAATGACATAGGCAGTTCCGTGTCCCAGTTCAGAGTCGCTGATCACCCTGAGAAGATACTGCCAAATCTGAGGCTTCCACATGGAACAGGTTATTGCATTTAAACAGCTTAACCTACTTTGTCTCATTCACAAGTTTTTTTACAGCTAATTTATTTTCCTTTTTAGGACATCACCATGAATTACTTTGTGAGTACTTATTCTTTATACTGGTTTTATCTTGTTTCAGGTACCTTTCTGTCACTGGGAGAGATAACATGATAAAAGCCCTGAAAGCAACTCCTTTTTGCAATGCAATGTGACAAAGTTCTAGTCCTCTTACCTGCTCCTCCTGCTAGTTTCTGTAGCACAGAGGGCCATGTTGAAAAAGCAGGGAGAAGATTCGGGTAGACCCACAGCGTGTACACTGTCCGGAAACAGAACCAAATTTAAAGATGCATCATTAAAACCACCTCTAGCTGTTGCTTCTTCCCATCTTTAAGACTAAGCAGTAAAATACTAACCACAACTAAACACTCTCGTTACTCGGGTAATCAAGAAATCTGAAGTCAGCACAATCCTACAATAATTAGTAAATGTGATGGAGAAAAATAAAGCTGCTAGCTAATTCAAGCTCATGTGAATTGTTATAAAGGATACAGATGAATGTTTGCATTATTTTCCTTAAATCAAAGACACTCTGAACTAAAATGCTACTCCAAGAGGGAAGAATTGCTGGATATGGGAAAAATAATGGCATAGACTATCAAAGCAATTCATTGCCTAACTCCAGGCCTGCCTGGAAGCTTCTTGGTGTTATACCTTGCAGTGGACAAAACAGGGAAAAGGAGCTAAGGTGCTAAACCATAACTTAAAGACTTGTTTCCTGGTTTCTAACCTCTCAGCACCTCAGTTTCCTTTTTTGCTGAAAGAATCCAGAAATGCCACTGCTTTCACACAGACATTGACAGAATAACTGCATTCAAGATTATGAAGTGTACCAATACTGTAGGGGTAGGATAAGTACTTATGACAGACACAAGGAAATCTTTTGGGGAAAGGTTGGTGCCCAGTAAGTAAAGAGGGAGGATTATTCTAGTCCACTCCCCATACCTGTTGGATACAGAGCTTTCTCAATTTCAAACAGTACTGGGTTCCTGTTATTCATGTAAACAGTGACAGCCTCCCCTTTGTGACAGTATATTTTGATGACATTAAGTTCTTCCTTGTTTGGAATAAACTCAGTCAATTGTTCAGCACTAAGGTTAGGAAAAGCTGCTGCAACATCAGTTCGTAGTTTTCTCCTGCAATGATAAAATCACACATGTGTTACAAAGCTATCTAGATCATCACTCAAAATAATGCCTAGATCAGTAGTTACTATTTTGCTGGGTGTTCATGAGATTCCCACTTTTTCACAGAAGACAATTTGAAGCATTTGTAGCCGGGTTTACAAATGAGATAGTTGCATGCTAGAAGAATACTGGGAAAAGGCCAAATATGCTTGCCCTGCTCATATTCTTTCTTAAACATCTGCTTACAGCTCCTGTTGCTGTCTTTGCCTCTGTTTTGCACTGTGATTTCATTACTGCTCTGAACTCCTGAGCATAAATCTGGGAGTGTCAGACTTGCTCAGTCCAGCCTGTCTCCTACAAGCTCCTGCAGCTCCGACACGGAGGAGCAGGATTGCTGCCAGCTTTCCCCCTCCCCACAGTTTTAACTGATGTTTAAGAGATGGTGACCAACACAAGGTGCGTTTGTGTGGTCATTCACAGAAGTGTCAAGTGAATCTAAAAGATCGGCAGGTCAGCCTAGCATCACTACACAAGGAAGAACATAAAAGTAAAGAAGGATCAGCTAGGCCTCGAACTAATAATTCATTTCAGCCTAGTTTAATTATGGCAGCACCTTCAAGCAAAAACTGCGTTCCATATTCAGCCCAGTTGTTCATGTTTATCACAAATCCAAGGTGAAAGCAGCCACAGCTCCCTGCCTGCCCCAAAAAAAAGCCCGCCGACGGCAGAGCCGCTGCCCCCGCCGCTCCCTGCGCGGCACCGAGACCGTGACCCAACTGTGTAGACCTACGGACAACGCCGCGAGGACGCGGCGGGACGGGCCCAGCGAGGGAGGCAGGATTGAGCCGCTTCCCTTCAGCGGAGCGCAGCCTCCGGGCCGCCCCCATCGGTGCAGCGGGAGGCTCCGGCCCC